GGGGCCGGCGTGGTCTGCGTGGCCGGGGGCGGAAGGAGGCCTGCGGCGCAAGGGGGGGAGTCGCGTTGGGGCGCAGGCGCGCCGGACCTCCGCGGAGGAACCAGACGTAGAAAAATAGAGACTTCAGAAGACGCTCAAATGGGAGGCAGGGTATCTGGGGGCGGGCGTGAGTGCGTGCGGACGTGTGCGTCTGTGATGGTGAGTGTGTCTGTGTGTGTGTGATTGTGAATGTGTGTGTGTGGTTGTGTGCATCTGTATGTGATTGTGTGTCTGTGTGAATGTGTGTGAATGTGTGATTGTGTGCATGTGTGTGTGGACATGTGTGTGACTGTGTGTCTGTGTGATTGTGTGCATCTGTGTGTGTGTGTATCGGTGTGATTGTGTGGACGTATGTGTCTGTGTGTGAGTGTGTGTGTGTGTGACCCTCCTGTGTGTGATGGTGTGTGTGTGTTGTTGCGTCTGTACGTGATTGCGTGTCTGTGCGTGTGACCCTCCTGTGAGTGGGGGAGGGGCTGAGGGATCTGTACCTGACGCCATGAAGGAGACATGGCTTTGCCAGTGGCCCTCACTCACAGTAGCCTCCCAGTCTGGAGCTGGTACCTTGATAGTGTTTCCAGCCGTCAGGAGGTGTGACTTGTCACAGAGCTGCGCTTACCTGTATCTTCCTTTCATGTCCCATTGAAGAAATCCTCCCACGCCCAGGGGAGGGGTGTATTGTCCAATCCCCTCTTCTGAAAGCCAAGGCTTTGATTTCCGTTGCTTAGCTATTATTAACTTGGGGGGGGGGGATTGTTTTTCTGCGACGTATGAAGCAGGAAACAAACTTTATTTTATTTCTACGGGAATATCCAAGTGGCTTGTCACCACTTACTGAAGAAGCCTCCTGCCCCTTCCAGGCAGGTGTGGAACATGAGTCACACCGATCAGGACTGTGCTTTGGCAGTGACCCCTGAGAAAGTCNCTCAGGAGGTGTGACTTGTCACCTGTATCTTCCTTTCATGTCCCATTGAAGAAATCCTCCCACGCCCAGGGGAGGGGTGTATTGTCCAATCCCCTCTTCTGAAAGCCAAGGCTTTGATTTCCGTTGCTTAGCTATTATTAACTTGGGGGGGGGGGATTGTTTTTCTGCGACGTATGAAGCAGGAAACAAACTTTATTTTATTTCTACGGGAATATCCAAGTGGCTTGTCACCACTTACTGAAGAAGCCTCCTGCCCCTTCCAGGCAGGTGTGGAACATGAGTCACACCGATCAGGACTGTGCTTTGGCAGTGACCCCTGAGAAAGTCTGCCAGGTATGCATTCCCGTGGGCTCTCGGCTTCGCCATGGGGTCTGCCTGTGGTCACTGCCAGACCCCAGCCACAGCCAGGGGGCTTTGCGAGACCCTGGTTTCCGGGGGGACATCCCTGCTCTCCCCACTCCAGCACCCTTAACCCTGTTTAAATACAGTGCAATTCATATCTGTTTTAACCCCTTTGCCAAGTTACACACTCACACAAAGAAAAGTTTGGTTGGAACTGCTTTGGTTTTTAGGTTCATGTCGGGACCACAGACATCTTTCCAATCTCCAGTCTACCCACGGGCCACAGACAGGGCCTCCGCTCGCTTCGACATCCCTCGTTCCCGTTTTATAACCATCTCCGAGAAAGCCTGTGGGTGCGGTCCAGGAACCTTACAGCTCTTCTTGCTGCTGTGAATGTATACCTTTCTCTCTCTCTCTCTTTTCGTTTATATCTTTATTGATTCCAGAGAGAGGAAGGGAGAGGGAGAGAGACAGACAGAAACATCCGTGATGAGAGAGTCGTCATTGATGGGCTGCCTCCTGCACAGCCCCACTGGGGACAGAGCCCCGACCCAGGCATGTGTCTGGAACCAGGAATCACACCAGCAACCTTTGGTGCACGGGACAGCACCCAACCCGCTCCCTGCAGTCCCCATGCCCTGAGCCACACTGGAAAGGCTCCTGAGACTCCCCCTTATAAGGACCCTGGGCACACAAGACCACCCNCCCCCATGCCCTGAGCCACTGGAAAGGCTCCTGAGACTCCCCCTTATAAGGACCCTGGGCACACAAGACCACCCAGGATACTCCCCCCCACCTCCAAATCCCAGACTTCATCTCACTTGCAAAGTCCCCATTCACAAGTTCCAGGATAAGATCGCAACGCCCTTGGGGCCACCATGTGCCCTGCCACAAGCACGGGGCGATGGTGTGGGGCTTGGGGAGCCTTCAGGCTCCATGCTCTTGGCGCTTATCCCCAAGTTTTTATTTCACCTACCGACGCTGCCAGTTTAGGTTTCCTTAGGAAGTGCCCACTGTATCTTGGTTTTAAACTTGACGGACACACAGTGGCCGCAGTAACTAACGCCCGTGGTGTTAAAACTCTCTGCCCGCCTGGAGCCGCCTGTTGTGTTCCCAGTGGAGCCCAGTGGCTCTCTGATCAGCTGCGGGCCTGTGTCACAGGCGCAGCTGTGGGCTTGCGGAGCGGCAGACGGGTTCCCTGCTCACCCCCACTCTGCACCCAGTGGGCTCCTGCAGGGGCCCACAATGAGGGCAAAGCGTCTCGGGTCCTTTGTCCTGCACCGTGGACAAAGGTCCATGCTGCTGGCCCTGCAGGGCCACCTGGTTGATGAATCCATCCCCAAGCCCTGCTCAGGCCGCTCCCTCTACCTGTATGGCCCTCCCTCTCCATCCAGGGAGCCCCTGGAAGACCCGCCTCCATGGCCCCAGATCCAAAGCCTTGTCAATCAACATGGAAATCCCCAATTAGGGGTCTGGTGAGGGGGGAGACTTTATTTTGTTCAAACAACCCAACACTGATATTGCAGCGGACCAGCCAAGACACTGGCAGAGAAGAGACACTCAGAGGAGCCGCCTTGTGACCACAGAGGCAAGGAGAGGTGTGACCCGTCTAGAAGCCCATGACTGCCGGCAACCAGGATCAGCCCTGAAGTCTCAGGAGCGAGTGCAGCTCTGTGACACCTTGACCCTGGACTCCTGGCCTGCAGGCTTGTGAGAAAAGAAGTGTCTGTAGTAATTGTTGACAGTGGCCATAGGAAGCTAACCCCTCCCTTGGTCCCCACTCCCAGGCAGAGGAGGGCTCCTGGAGGACCCGTGGGTGGGTGACGCTAAGTGTGCCCTGCCGTGGGAGGTCAGGGCGCCCCTGGCTCCGGGCTGCGCTCTGCTCCTCACGCAGGTGGGCGGGGCCGGCACAGGTGGCCCCTCTATACCCAGGGTCCTCACCTGGCCTCGGGGTGCAGTGCCCCCCACGGGTTACTCTCGTGACTAAACTGACACTGGGAGAGGCTGGGACAGCCTGGCTGGGATGGACACTGTCACCATGACTATTCTTTTTCAGACTCACAAACACCCTCCTACCTGTTTCAGACCCAATGGGATGAGGAAGGGTCAGGCGGGGGTGACCAGTGTGGGGCCCAGACTCCTTCACCTGCCGCAGCCTGCGGGCCATCCACACCCGCCCAGTGCTCCAGGGTCCTGGGAAGGATCGGGGCCTCTGGCCCCATGTCCAGGCTGCCCTCAGACAGCCTCTCGGGGCTGACGACTCCTGTCGAGAGGACTGTAGAGTCGGTATCTCCATTCTCATGCAGTGACTCGAAGGGCCTGGGGCTCTCAAGCACCTAAGAAACAAGGAAGTGCCTTGAGTGGGGGATTCAGCACAGGTGCCCCCACCGCTCACTCTAAGGACAGGGGCCCCAAGGATCCCACGGCTCAGTGGGGCTGGCTCTGCTCTCACCTCTGCCCTCACTGCTGGCTCGGCTGGCCTCGGTAGGCCTCGGTCAAGGCATCTTGAGGCCTGTTGGGCATCAGTTTCCCCATTGTGAATGGAACCCTCTAGAGTCTAAGGCTCCTGTTTAGCCGACACTCAGGCAGCCAGGGGCTTCCCGGAGCTGGTCCGGTTGCCTCCTAACTCGGAGCTGGCCTGACGCTGGATGGGAGGCAGAGCTGGGGCCTGCACCGAGCATGGCGAGGACAAGAGGTGGGTGTCCCAGCCCAGCCGGGCGCGGCTCAGCGGTTGAGCATCGACCTGGGATCCAGGCGATCGGGGTTCGATTCCCGGTCAGGGCACAGGCCCGGGTTGCGGGCTCAATCAATGACTCTCTCATCATTGATGTTTCTATCTCTCTCTCTCCCTCTCCTTTACTCTCTCTGAAATCAATAAAGATATAAAAAAAAAAAAACCCTAAAAAAAAAAAGAGGTGGGTGTCCCAGGACCACACTCACCATTCTTTTTCTTCCCTCACCGTGACCTTCACTGCGTCCTGTGAAGACAGACAGCAAGCCGTGGTTAGGGGGAGATTCATCTCTGGGATGGGATGGTTTGGGAAGAGACTCCGCCCTCCCCAGGCCAGGGGTCAGGCCAGGAAGGCTGCAGCAAGGGACCTGGTGCACCTCACTTTCCCCTAGTTGTCTGGTTGCACAGCTTCTGGGACCTGCCAGGAGGCCTGTGGCTCTCAGCCCCAANAAAAAAAAAAAACAACTAAAAAAAATAAGAGGTGGGTGTCCCAGGACCACACTCACCATTCTTTTTCTTCCCTCACCGTGACCTTCACTGCGTCCTGTGAAGACAGACAGCAAGCCGTGGTTAGGGGGAGATTCATCTCTGGGATGGGATGGTTTGGGAAGAGACTCCGCCCTCCCCAGGCCAGGGGTCAGGCCAGGAAGGCTGCAGCAAGGGACCTGGTGCACCTCACTTTCCCCTAGTTGTCTGGTTGCACAGCTTCTGGGACCTGCCAGGAGGCCTGTGGCTCTCAGCCCCAAGAAAGTCCAGCGCCATCGAGCATAGCTGCCCCCTGGCTGTGCCCCACAGACCTGCCGGACACCCCTGCCCTGGCTCAGGTCTGCCTAGGAGACGGCGCTGGCACCCCATTAATGATGCATCAGGGACCCCATATCTAGCCTGGCCTGTCCCTCAGCCCCAGAGGCTCAGCGGAGCTGGTGCCATGACAACTTCCCAGTGGGTTGTCCCTCAGGCCACTCTGTGGGGTGGGAGGAGCCTCAGCTGGTGACGACCAGGAAAAGGCCTGGCCCTGTCCTAACTCAGGGGCCCCCAGGACCTGCCCCGGAGCCCAGGCTCTCACCCACTCCTGTCGGATGGCTCTAACCCCAGTACACACCGATATGGAGACAACAGCAGGCAGCCGGGACTCCCCTGCATCCTTGTTTCATGATGTAGCGATAGGGGATGGCCGCCAGAAGCATGGTGGGAAGAATGGCCGCAAGCAAATGGTACCAGTGTATGCGCTCTGAAACTGGGAAAAACAGACAGTGTGTCAGGAAGGTCCAAAGCCAACCTTTTCCCAGCAGCCCCATGACCAAGGACAGACAGACCCAGCAAGTCCACCTCTGGGAACACGCCTGCAGACATGCAAACACAAGGCTTGGGAGACGGCCGGCCCCGCGTTCACAAGGTCAAGGCACGGCAACCACCCGTGTCCCTGGACAGATGAACGGAGGGAGCAGCTGAGTGTATGCACAGACACATGCACACGCACATGCACACGTGTGCATGCACACACATGCACACGCGTGCACCGGAACATGTTCACCCATGAAAAGAGCGCATCCTGCCACTGTGAGAACACGGACGGACCTGGAAGGCATTATGCTCAGCGAGACAAGACAGGGAAAGACAAATCCTGTGTGATCCCATTTCACGTGGACTCTAAAAACAGAACCAACTCAGAAGAAGAGATCAGGTCGCTGGTAGGGGGCGGTGGGGGGCCTGGAAGAAGGGATCAGACGTACGTGCTTGAGTTAGACGTTCCCGGGGTGCGGAACCAGCAGGGGGCTACGGCAGAAGCCTCTGCGCAATGTATCGGAGGGTGGTTAAGAGGGTCAGACCCTAAGCCTTCCCATCCCAGGGAAAAAAGCTCTTTCTCCTTCCATTGTGCCCATAGGAGGTGATGGAAGTTAACTCGCCGCGGCGATCATTGCACATAAGTCATCACGTCGCTCACCCTGAGCCCACAGGGCGGCCTGTCCATTCCATCTCGGCACAGCCGGGGGAAGAGGGCAAGCACGCAGGCTCCGCCGACCGGGGAGAGCCGCGAGCAGGCATCTCCCAGCCTGCCCGGCCTGTCCCGGGGCCAGGCCCCAGCCCCTGGCGCAGGCGGCACACCGGAGGGCAGATAGGACTGATCCCTCCCCCGGAGGAGTGCAGGGGGCAGGTCTCAGATGGGCCTGAGGATTCGCTTGACCACGTGGGTGTTTGGGGAATGGTGCACTGATGTCCGCCCTGAAGGGACGTCCTATGTCAGGCTGTGTCTCCGGTGACCAAGGAGACCCAAATCTAATGTCATGAAATTTCCCTCTGTTTTCTTCTAGGAGTTCTACAGGGTTAGTTCCCACAGTTAGGTCTTTGGTTCTTCATGAGTTAATTTTTGTGTCCACTCCTCGGCCTGCGGCTATCCAGTTTCCCCAACACCATTTACTGAAAAATCATCCTTTCGTTATAATCATCTTGGCTCAAGGGTTTGTTTAAAGAGTTTGCCCGAGTCCGTTAACAGATGAAAGACTCACAGAGTGTGGTGTAGCCCAAATACACGTCTGCATACGATTCGGCCACGCAGAGCAATCAAGCTCCAACCCCTTCTACAGCAATCAAGGACCATGAAGACTCTATACTGCGTGAGAGAAGCCAGGCACGTAAGGCCACGTGCCAAACTATTCCATTTCCACGAGGTGTCAGAGTAGGGAAATCTGTCACGGACAGCAAATCAGAGTTCGTGGGGGGCCGAGGAAGGGAGGGCCCCGAGAGCTGCTGTTTCAGGGGCTGGCGTGAACATGTCTGACTGTGCAGGGGGGTGGTGCTAAGAGCCGCCAAACTGTTCGCCATAAAATGGTTAATTTTGTGGTCTTCGTCTCCATAACATATGTATCAGAAACAACAGGGAACCACCTTACCTGGGACGTGCTTGTCACACACCGTGTCTGCCGTGGAATTGCATCCATGCAGGGCGACTTCCCCTTTGGGGCACCTGGGGGAGGGAGATACCCTTACTGTTCCTCCTTCCATGTGTGCCCAGGCCCCAGGCCCCAGGCCGACAGGTGGCGTTCTCACCAACAGAAGGTGGCCTCTGGGTCTAGCTCCGGGGGGAGGCACTTCCCCCACCCCACTCTTGGGAACACTGTGCCCAGTGACTGAAGATCCCACAAGGGGCCCTGGACACACGGAGAGCCCCCAGCATCCCCCCAGAACCAGCATCTCGGATGTCATCACCCACATCCCAGGAGGAGGGCGGCGGGTGACTTTCCTCCCCAATGAGCATCCCGGCCTTCCTTGGGGACCTGTGGCCTGAAGGAGAAAGGAATCTGCCCTGCTTTTAGCAAAGGCTCAGGAATGAACTGCTCCTTCCCAACTGTTGCAAAACTAGGGGCCTGTCGCTCATGGCCCGGCGTTCGGAAGTCACAGGGAGGTATAGTCAGACCCAGGACCAAGGAGGCGCTGGCGGGGGGCCTCGTGCTCACAGCTCTCTGCACCGCGCTGAAGGTGACACCTGTGGGGATGTCACCAGCCCCATGCTTCCCGCCATCACAGGGGCCCCTGCCTTCTTTCTGAGAGCAAGAGTCTTATTCTTAGACCCCAAACTCCAGGGTCACAAAGTGAAGAACTCTGGAGGCATCCCCAGGCCAGACACCCTTTTAGGGATCAAAAGCGGGTCCAGCCAGCCGCGCTGCTTTCTTCTGACTGAGCACAGCCTCGGAGAAAGTCAGACAGGCAAGTCCTGGGTCCCCGGACCCCATCGCGCCCCTGGGGTGAGGCATCGGGCCGCTGGTCAGAAACTCGGGGGCTAGAGGACACTGGTGGGGCGCTCCCAGAATCCTGCACACAGTCAGCAGCAGAGAGGGGAGAGTGGAGCAGAACAGAGGAGCTGCTAGAAAGAGGGAGGTGGCGGGCGGGGAAGGGGGCGCGTGCCCTGGATGTGCCCTGGCTGTGCCCTGGCCGTGGGAGCGGCCCCTGAGAGTAGCGAGTCCAGCTGGGGACCCGGGAACAGACGCTCGGGGACGAACGAGGGACAGAGGGGTGGTGGAGGGCTCGGACAACGCGAGGCTTGAGCGAGGCGCGGTAGGTATTAAAACAGGGAGAGGTGATCGAAAACTTTAGGAAGAAGGAGAAAAACTATGGGAAATAGACTTTGTCCAGATGGAAGTAACCTGAAAATTAATACGATTCTACGAACCTGGGGTGACAAGAGAACCTTTTGGCCGCGGGCAGCGCACCTCTGGGCTGCGGCTGGCCTGTACTCACCTGCCCAGGGTCCCGTGGCCACGGGCTCTCGGCTCCTAAAGAATCACCCCCAGGAGCCCAGGTCCACAGCCACCTGCCCCCGCCCTGGGCACCTGCACAGAGTCACCTACCTGCTGCATGGCCTGCAGGCATCATCGGAGCCAAGGTGGTGGAAGAAAAAGCCTGGTTGGCACTGGCATATGCTGTCGTTGGTGGAAGTGCAGTTCATCACCGTTACCTTCCCTGCAGGTCGGGAAAGACGGGGTCAGTCCCCGGGGGCCACCTTGTCCTTCTGCGTTCAGGTGGAAGCGGTGTGGCCCCAGCACGGACCTCAGCCGCCACAGAGGATGCACCAGGAGGGTCCCGAGGGTGGCTGGAAACCCTGCCAGGGACATCTCCGCCACCTCTGCACATCCGTCTCCCCAGGGCCAGCTCTGAGAGCTGGGGTGCCGGCTCAGAAACTGGGTCACATGGATAAATTGGGAACCACAGTCTCAAGATGCCCCCACAGCGGTTTCTCTTTTCAAGGCTGCCTGTGTCCCTCGGTGCCTCACAAAAAATCAGCGCGCCTTCCTATGGGGATGCCTACTTCTTAACCATGTTTACTGAATCCAGTGCCAAGAGGAACACAAGTCTTTGATGGCACATCTAGTGTCCCTCTGAGATCAGGGAACCAGCGTCGGATTTTGTGTGACAGAAAAACCCAGCCTCAGCTAAACCCTTGGGAGTCAGTACTGTGGGGCCTGTGGGGTAGCGATCTCCACTCCGCGCTCTGTCATGCTGATGAGAGTCCCCCAGGCACTTCTCTACAGGAACCCGGAGCCCTGAGCTTTGGGGCTGCACCGGCCTGTCTCTACCCAAAGGCTGGGTTCCTGGGCACCCGGCTTCTTAAATTAATTTTTCACAGCTAAACAGGGAGCATCCTTGTGCCTCAACATTTAGGCTCGATGTTGAGGACTTCTTGGGGACACAGTCCCAGCCTGGCCACATGGGGTCAGGGGCTACAGGGTCATGGTCACATAAGGGGCCTGTGCTGAGACTCACCCTTGGAGCAGGGATAACAGGGCCGGCAGGACAGCAGGCCGTTGGGGAACTCCGTGAATGTCCCTCGGTCACACCTCGCACACGTGCCCTGGGTGTGNTGGAACAGGGCCGGCAGGACAGCAGGCCGTTGGGGAACTTCGTGAATGTCCCTCGGTCACACCTCGCACACGTGCCCTGGGTGTGGGGGCGCCTGCAGGGTTCCTTAACATAGTGGCCTGTGCAAGAGGTCGGGCGCTGGGTCAGGTCCCCACCAGGGATGCCCGGTGACCCTGCTGTAGGGGTCTGCGCACCAGTCCCTGGGGGCTGGTGCTCCAATGAGAATGAAATAATCGCCCGGTTGGGCATGGCTCAGCGGTTGAGGGTTGATCCAGGATCCAGGTGATCGGGGTTCAACTCCCGGTCAGGGCACAGGCCCGGGTTGCGGGCTCGATCCCCAGTCAGGGGCGTGTAGGAGGCAGCTGATCAATGATTCTCTCATCATTGAAGTTTCTATCTCTCTTTCTCCCTCTCCCTTCCTCTCTCTGAAATCAATAAAGGTATAGTTAAAAAAAAAAAGAAATAATTATGTCTTGAGCTTTTGGATCAAAGTAACCTCTGGCCCTGGCCAGTGTTGCCCAGTGGTTAGAGCGTCGGCTTGCACAACAAAGGGTCATGGGTTCGATTTCCAGTCAAGGGCACATACCTGGGTTGTAGGTTCGATCCCCAGCCNTCTGGCCCTGGCCAGTGTTCCCAGTGGTTAGAGCGTCGGCTTGCACAACAAAGGGTCATGGGTTCGATTTCCAGTCAAGGGCACATACCTGGGTTGTAGGTTCGATCCCCAGCCCTGGTCGGCACACATGCAGAAGGCAACCAATTGATATGTGTCTGTCTCACACGGGCGTTTCTCTCTCTCTCTGTCCCCCTCCCTCCCTCCCACTCTCTCTGAAAAGCAATGGAAAATATCCTCAGATGAAGATTAATAACAAAAAAGCAATCTCTGGGTTTTACAAGGTCTTGGCTCTTGCCCCTGGGAGCTCGTCACCCGCCCTGCATTTGCTCCTCACAGCTGTGCTAGGTGGCACCCCAGGGCCCCTGAACTCTCTGGGCTGGTGCGATGCTGAGGCCGACTGAGGATCAGCATCTGTCGAGGGTCAGTAAAGGCAGGGGGACCATCTCAGCGCTGCCTCCCCGGCCAGGGCTCACCACCACCCGCCCAGTCACAGCCCAGTGCCCAGGTGGCTGCGTGAGGTCCCGGGGCTCAGCCCTCTCTCAGGATCACCTCGCTGGCCAGCACGGGGTTCCCCGATCACCCTCGCTGAGAGTGGGCCAGCGCTTCCTTCCAGAAGGTGCTCCCTGGGGCCATGTCCTCCCTGCTGCACGGTCAGAGCCACGACCCCTCACAAGCTAGATGTGCATTCAGGGCAGGGTCCAGCGGACAGCACTGGCCCGGACTCACCCTCCGGGCAGAGCACGCAGCAGAGGCCTGCAGACAGGTACTCTTGGGACCTGCATCTACTTGTCCTGATGGGGTACCCCTGGCTCGGCTTGGCCAACAGGCCCCTCGAGGTGATCAGGATCAGCTGGAAAAGAACAAGAAGCGTGGCCCTTACACTAGCAACAGTAAGAGGCAGGCGCTATGACCCCTTGGCCAGGCCTCCAGCCCGGACCATCTCACTGGAGAGCTGGGGGCTCCCCCCCTGCACACATGCAGCCCACGGAGGACACACTCTGTGCCTGCTGGCCTGGGGCTGGGGAGGTTCTGAGCTCACTGGCCCTGCATGTGGCATCAGGACATGAGCCTTCTCAATCCATCGGCTTGGGCTGAATGTGTTACAACGTGTTACAACGTGTTACAATGTGTTACAACGTGTTACAATGTGTTACAATGTGTTACAACGTGTTACAACGTATAGGCTTCGCCAAGTAAGAACAACTTAGTAACAATAACACCCAGGGCGAAGACATAATCTGGGGTGGCCGAGCCTGACAGCAGGACAGTGGCCATCCCGTCAAGCCAGGAAGCAGACAGGGGCAGGCAGGGGTTCTTGAAAGAA